GGGGGGGGGGGGGGAAGGGGGGGCGTAATAAGATTTGGAATCTAGTCCAGTCCTCACAGTCGATCTTGAAATGGTATCTGTCTCATACTAATATATCACTACTTAAAGTGACCTGAATTAATTTTGATCCAGTCTAGGGACTGCATTAATTTTGATCCAGATCTACCAGAACTGTATCAATATACATCACCAGGTATTCAGTATTGTCATGTGAGCAAAATAAAGCAACATGGTTGGCTAATTTACTCATGAATTATTAATGAGTTTGATATGTTACAGTTGAACTGTAATTTGCTTATTTGCTCCTAGTAAAGTGTTATGCAAAGCTATAGTAATTCGACTGTATAATTTTTGTATTCAGGTAGCAATCGTTACCTCCGTTCCACCAATTCCTTCCTGTTTTCATTCCGTAACAAATACAACCTGAAGCCATTCAAAGCGCCCGTATACAGAAACCACAACAATGCTATCTATACCAACAATGGTTATGGTCCCACTTTTGGAGGAGGTCACGACCTCTACATTGTAACCAACAGCAACGTTAAGACAGGATCGTACACCAACCTCGGGCACACCTACAAGCCTCCCTCTGGTTACGGTTATGGTGGAAGCAACACCAGAAGTATCTTTGCTGGCAACTATAATCGCTTTCGTATATCCGAGATCGAAGTGTTCTACTATCACCAGTAACTTTGGCATGACCAGTTTCTTGTTATATTAAACTAATTAAAGTTTGTGGATTTGAAGTTTAAAAACAAGCTTGTAGTTTGTAGATTTTGTTGTCCTTTGAAGTGAAATAAAGTTAATGTTTCTTTGCAGTTTTCAGTCTCAATTTTTGAATTAGAACAGGGCCGATTAAACCTGGTTTACACTATCAAAGTTCCTGTGATCACAGTAGGAATTTTGCATAGGTAAATTCTAAGTTTTGAAGTTTTTGTTAGAACTATTTGAAGGAACTGACTCGTGTTAAATACCAACTAGAGTTCGCTCAAACATTTCTCGAAAATCTGTCATAACTTACCTGTGCTAAATTCCTACTGTGATCACAGATACTTTGATAGTGTGATCCCAACCTTTAGAAAATGTATCAAGCTTCCGTCTTTGATCAAGTGTCAGGCGAATTAGTTTGGGTATGAACTTTCTTTTCAAGACAAAAAACATCATGAAGCTTTCGTGTTTGAACAAATTGGTATATTTGAATGCTTGTTACAAACATATATGGAAGAGATATCCCCGTGCTCGACTGTTTGGGCCAATTTCCATTGAATGGCAGCACATTGTCTGGCGTTAGACAGAGATCAAAAGTACTAAAGTGTGGCGCCTCTTTATAGGCTATATTTACATTGTATCGGATCGGTTATGCCGTCGTATTTGCTTTATATATATATATATATATTTACCAAAGACAAAAATATTGCAGACATCATTTTAAAGAGAGTGAGCAAGCTATACCCGCAAATAAGATTAGAATAGCATGTTTTTGTTTGCTGGACGCAATCTTGAATTACTTATTGAACCGAAAATTGCTCCGATTGGTGTTTACATTACAATGAGAGCGTTGCAAAACCCCGAATCCGATACACCGCGCACTACTTCGAAGAGCGAAAAATTGAGAAAATAACAACATTTCATATGTAAACAGAAGCCCTATCCGGTATGGTTTTGTGTCGGACGCAAAGTGATCCGATACAATGTAAACATGGCCTTAATGGGTTAACAGGATGCATGGGCAGATTCGTCAAGGGGAGAAGAATGCCACATTATTTAATAAAGTAAGGCGCATCAGGGCGGATTGCCACTTAAAGGGTCAAGAAACGAAAACACAAATGAAATTTATCAAATGACCACAAAAATATTCAGTTTGTTTTTTTTATAAATAATTTACAATAATATATTTAACCTATTAAGTCTATTATACTATTGCGGCTAAATTTTGTTATCGACTAGCGAAACGTCTGCTTCACATAGAGTAATACGTTTAGACTGTCCAAGGAAATGTCCTGTCATTTCGAGTTCGTTTATCTTTACTTCTACAGAATCACCAACGTTGTACGAAAGACTAAAAGGGAATATATAAATGAACAAAATTAGCAATAAATGGCCCATAACTTTACAGTATCTGTGGGATTGTATATTAATAGCAAAACAGGAACGTCACATCACCTATTAACTTTGCTTCGAGGTATTTTAACCACGGCGTGAAACTTCCATCCAAATTCTACATACATATCATCGTTTATAATATGCGTAATTTTCCCTTGAACAATTTTGCCAGCTGGTCGACCTAATTTAACAAATTGTGTTTCCTTAAACATTTTTTCGAAGCTTTCTTGGTCTGCATCATCAACTACGGTACTCGAGGCATTGCAATTCGTGCGAGAAAACGATCTCGAAGTTATATTTCTCGGTAAAAATATGCTATAAAAACATTTTCTCAAAATGTTCGCCATATTGGAAATTGTTAGAGCGCTAGACCATAATGATATTTTTGGGTTCAACCGCTACGTTGTCACCACAGGCTCACTTTAAAAAATTTGTTTATATTTTGTTATTTTGTTGTTTTTTTGTTGTTATTTTTTCAGCTGTTTAATATGGTTATTTAAAAAGTTGTGAAGTTGATATAGCTGTTAGTGTTTTATTTAAAACATTGCTGTTTTTAGTTGATCACAGGTTTTCACTGCATTTACCATAAACCAGTAACTCACCAGCTATAAAATTCCCAGACAAATCACCACCTAATTTAACCATCGATGGCTGAATCAAAACATGATCTGTTACAGTTCATGATTGTTGTTGGTAAACTGAAGGTAGGCAAGTAGTTGTTACGTTATGTGCTTAAATAGTTATCCAGCAAGATCTATATTAGTATATTCTCCTAATTCTCGAACAGTGAGGCCTGAGGGTCACTCAAGATCATGGCTGTCCCCAACCTCGTCCCCAGGGTCTTGCCCTGGGGATGAGGTTGGGCTGTCCCTTGTCAGTTGCCCTAGCACCACTGGGCTGGCTACTGTATATATTGATACCAAAATAGATATAATCATAATTCCATTCCAACTAGCTACATCCTGTTCCTATAGCCAGTGCATTTAATACGAGAAGCATATGAATGCCTGCACTAGATGATTTAATTTACTGCCAAGAGGAAGTACAGGTACTCAATGGGTTTAATTATATTTATTGATGTTCAGTCGTTAAGGAGAACTGGTTGGGTAAGGCGTGGTGTGCCCAATCCGGAACATGTTGCAGATCACATGTACATGATGGTCGTCATGACATTTTTCATTCAAGATGATCACAACCTAAATAAGGAACGGTAAGGAATGCACATGTTTTTAATAGAGGTGGTTTTAGCCATCAAGTTGCATTATAACCTTATCCATCCTACTTTATTATCGCCAGACGATTTCACTCATCAAGGGGAGATTTCACTCATCAATGGGTTAATTGATTACCAAATAAGTATTCAATTACTTATTTAACCCATTAAGCGCCAGCGCTCTTCCCTTGACGAGTAAAATCATCTGGCATTAGACAGAGTAAAATACTAAAGTAGGGTGCATCAGGGTGCAATGCAACTCAATGGGTTAATTAACAAAAATATTGCAAGATCAGTATAATCAGTAGGCTCGGATTCCAGCCGTTGGGTTCTCAGCACTCAACCTAACGGCTGGAATCCGAGCCTATATAATCAGTGGTTAATTAATTTTAATGACCAGTTTTAATTGTAAATTTAAATGAACTAATTTATTTGGTTAATTGATTTGACCATTAATTTATTAATTAATCAATTTAATTAGTTGATTAATGATTACTGAGTAATTACTTGTTACCTTGATTGTATAATTGGTAAATTAAATAATCAATGTATATAGTTAATTAATAATAATAAATATTTAAGTGTGGTAATTAAATTGTCCTCATTATATGTTTTCAGTTGTATGAAACTAGCACTGGTCCACGACATGGCAGAGTGTATAGTTGGAGATATCACTCCTTACTGTGGAGTGAGTAAGAATGAAAAACACGCAAAAGAGAGGGTCAGTGTGTGACATTGATTAAATTATTAACAACTAGAGGACACTTAAACACTGCATACCTCTCAGCTATTACACCATTTATACAATAGGCTAATGGACCACTTGCATGTTAGACTAAATTTTAATCTAAGTAAAGAGAAGGGAATCAAACACCGTGCAGCTAAAAAAACATAATGAAATTAGTAAACTTGCAAAATTTGGTTGCGAAATGTTGTAAAGCTTGCAAAATATAGTCTTGCAAAGTTTGCAAATTTTGTATAATTATGTTTGTATCACGCGCGGAAATTGTTACCATTTTCGGCTCAAAAATGGTAACAATTTCCGCACGTAATACAAACATATACAAAATATGCAAACTTTGCAAGGCTATATTTCAAGATAACGGCAGATGACCGGTCAGCTTTTACCGGCCGTTAATTATTTTGAGCCCTGAATAATTGTACAAATCTGATCCAAACTGCTAAAATAGTCAATTGGCTAAACATGGTTTTGAAAAACACTGCTATACTTATCCAATGCACTTATAATTATCAAACGTTGCTGTAGGTTTCAAAATTCTGCAGTGAATCAATTCTGTTTAATATAGGAAGCAATGAAGCAAATATCTTCACTTGCTGGCCAAAAGGTTGGGCCAGAGTTACTTGCTTTGTGGGAGGTATGTGAATTATATATAATTGTATTTTGCTCAATTGTATTCAGAAGTGGACAAGAAGAACTTTGATCCAGACAAGAAGAACTAAATCCATTACCATAGCTGGATAGAGCATCTTAAAATGAGTAAAGTTGCAAAGTTTGGTTGCGATTTGTTGTAAAATGAAGAAAATCGCAAATGAAGTTCGCAAATTTTGTATATATGTGCATTATGCGCCGGAAAAATATCCAGTTTAAACAGAAAGTGGTTATTTTTACCGCGCGTAATACAAATATATTCTTCACAGGGCTATATTTTCTTCATTTTACAACATTTAGCAACCAATCTCTGCTGTTTTACTCATCAGTTCTAAGACGCTCTTTCTAGCTGTGGTATTGGATTTCGTTTTTCTTGCCTTGATCAAAATTTAGTCTAAAGCTGGAATCACCCATTAAGTTTAGAAGATAATCACACAAGAGCCAATATGAGTAATGACTGTATGTTTTTAGGAATACGAAGCGCAGGAAACTCCAGAATCACAATTCGTTAAAAATTTGGATCGCTTTGATATGATCTTACAAGCGCATCAATACGAAAAAGGTAATTCACCTGTTTACATTCTATACTACTATACATGAATGTACAATATAACTTAATTCTAACCTCGATTCCTATATTTCTACCGCAGAAATCGGACAGGTTGGTCATCTTCAAGAATTCTTTGACTCAACCGAAGGTTTGTTTCTTACCCCTGAGCGTTTCAATGATATTTTGAAATTTCTAAACGTCGCATTTCGCATGTTATTATAATTATAAGTATTATTAAATCATTTTGTTCCATTTCGCCCTAATACGCCCTATAGTTTATTATTTACCCTGTCTAATACCAGACGATTTTACTTGTCAAGGGGAGAGCGCTTGTATGCATTGGTCTGTTTTCACCAAATCGAGTTCTTGACCAAATCTTCAACCATCTCTCAATTGATAAACAGGAAATATTGATTGTGTTTAATTTCAGGAAAATTTGACCATGCGATGGTAAATAATTGGGCGACACAATTAACGGAACATCGCAAGATGAGCGAGACTAATAAAGAATCTGCATCAGACAGCGAAAATAATAGAACAGAAAAGGTTTGATTCTCGGATTAAATACGCTGTGAATTTGTCCAGAATAGGTTTGTATAAAAGAATAAACTGTCATTTAAATATTATTTATTTAATAGCTTTCATAATTTCAAACCATGTTAGCCAATTTTGTAATACATTTTTAGTTATTTTTTTAAAGTGATATTTTGCATTTTTCCAAACTAATTCTATTTTTTTCTAACGCATCATATCGCTAATCAGTTCATAAAACCATAATATTATTCTTTAAGTCGAAGTCAAAATACGAAATTTCGGTACGCTCATCACTCATGGCAGCTTCGTATCAACCGCGCAGACAAAACAATAGAAAAGGACTGGGTAACTGGACGTCGATCTCCGCCATCTTTGGTTTCACTTTTTGGACGCAAGTTCTCATTCCACGTAATAGAGAGCTCACTGGTGCGCACGCAACCTGTATGCGCGCATTTGTGGCGCGCATTTGTGGCGCGCATCGTCTCGTGCGTTGTAGTGACGCCATTATAAATTTGCATTTATGACGTCATATTACCCACGGTATGCCTGCCAATGTCGATCTGGTCGGCGTTCTTGATGTGCGTCCACGGCGTTGGCGCCGCTGTTAGCAGGTCAGTTCAAAGTTTTGAAGCATATATCACTTGGTGGAATTTTAGTTGCTGTAAACGCCCCATATCTGGGAATTTTTGGGCACAATAAAATTTTCTAACTGCGCTATTGCTACTTTTCAAGGGATCGTTTTATATAAAACTATAAAATAGAAATAAAGATTTACACAAATAAGTATAGGTAATCATGCGATGGCGAGTACAATTAGGGATTAATAGTACGAGTGATGTTTGGAAATTTTGCCAAAATTGTACGAGCCGCCGGGGCGAGTCCAATTTGGCAAATTTCCAAACATCACGAGTGCTATTAATCCCTAATTGTACGAGCAACATCGCATGATTACTTGTTTATTATTAGCATGACAAAATTGGATACGTACTTCTCAATGTCAACATCATATTCTCTCGCCAAAGCCCAGTCCTGCCAGACTTTCAACCAAAATTTGGTGCTTTTGTTTGTATTTTCATTTAGTTCTTTTGTTAAAGCAAAATTTGGTGCTTTTGTTCGTATTTTCATCTAGTTCCTCTAGGGCAATTATGAATTTCATTTCACGTTTGTGTAAAATACCTTTCCACCATTTTGTTTGTTTTGCCGGAAAAATCATTAATTGTACTGCAGTACAATTAATGAAATAATTGTATTCCTCTCAACCAATCAGCATCCAGTAATTTTGTCATGCTAATAATAAGTCATGTTAGATGAAACAATATTGAAACAATTTGCTTCGTTAGTGAAAATTTGTGGGGGGAAATTTGGGGAAAATGCAGATTTCTAGAAATATAGTTAGAATTTATTTATTTTGTTTGAATACATTAAATTTCAAATGAGCCATCAGTCCATCGTGGATTTCTTTTCCATCTTGCAGTAATTATTATTTTCCACCGTGGATTTCTTTTCCATCTTGCAGTATTTATTATTTTTAACTACAGTTTTGTTTTGTCAATATTTCAGGTTGTTTGGCTCGGGGAGACAAAATGGCGGTTCTTCTCAAAACTATGCCACCATTAGTCAGGACACCGAGCATCTCGTCCAATCAGATTCAACCACTGTCATCAACCAATCAAAACAACGCAAGGCAAATCAAAGTAAACCTTCGCCTCGAAAGAAACTAAGTTTAATCAACCGTCGAAAAGAAACCCAAGCTAACGCGGCTAAACCCGGAAAACCACCAAGACCTAATCCACCGAACTTCGGAAACGTCCGAGGACCAGGCGATGGTCCCCCGAAACAGTCCGGAGATGTTTTACGTCCGCCAAGACCTGATCCGCCTTCCAACGTAGGTGGCCGAGGGCCAACCGACTCTGCCTCGAAGCGGCCCGGAGATACTTCACGGCCGCCCAGACCTGTTCCGCCTTCCAACGTAGGTGACCGAGGGCCAACCGATTTCCCCCCGAAGCAGTTCGGAGATGTTTCGCGTCCGCCAAGACCTGATCCGCCTTCCAACGTAAGTGGCCGAGGGCCAACCGACTCTGCCTCGAAGCGTCCCGGAGATATTTCACGGCCGCCAAGACCTGATCCGCCTTCCAACGTAGGTGGCCGAATGCCAACCGACTCTGTCTCGAAGCGGCACGGAGATATTTCACGGCCGCCAAGACCTGATCCGCCTTCCAGCGTAGGCGGCCGAGGGCCAACCGATTCTCCTCCGATGCAGCACGGAGATATTTCACGGCCGCCAAGACCTGATCCGCCTTCCAACGGCGGCCGAGGGCTAACCGATTCTCCTCCGAAGCGGCTCGGAGACGTTTCACGCCCGCCAAGACCTGATCCGCCTTCCAGTGTAGGCTATCGAGGGGCAACCGATTCTCCTCCGAAGCGACACGGAGATATTTCACGCCCGCCAAGATCTGATCCGCCTTCTAGCGTAGGCGGCCGAGGGCCAACCGATTCTCCCCCGAAGCGGTTCGGTGATAGTCCACGGCCGCCGAGACCAGCCCCACCTTCTAAGGCGGTGGAAGAGACATCGAACGTAAGCGATGCTCGTCGCAAACAACTCGGAGATATTTTTCGCCCTCAAAGACCGGATCCACCTTTCGGTGTCGGAAACCGAAGAGTGAACGAAGATTCCCCGAAGACTACTGGTGGTAACGAAGTACAGGTCACGAAAAATGCCGATAATAGCCCGAAGAAGCAACCGGTATCGCCCGTCAAGGATTCTGCAACCATAAAACTTCCGAAACGTAGATCGTCTATTCAGAAACCCGCATCGCCTCAAAAACCGGAGGTAATATCTCCGTCATCTCAAAAAACCCAGGTGAAATCCTCGGCCATCCCCCTAGATGCTGAAAATAACCGAGTTGCAACGCTAAGACAACGCTTGCTTGAAATGCAAACTACCCAGAAGAGAGGAAGTAGGAAAATTTCAATTCCAATCTCGAAATCTGAAGGAAATGTAGCGAAGAAGACTCGTAGTTTAGAAGATAAGGTAAAGAATGACACGTTGAGCCGCCCTAAAGAGCCGTTTACATTTGCGCTGCGATTTTAGATGCGAATTTCTTCTGAATGGTTGTAAATGAGTTATGAATGTTCAGATGAGGGTACATACATATATGTACTCAGAACATTTATAACTCATTCACGTGGGGCTTTGGTGACACTTTAACGATAAAAATTTTACAAGATATGCAAACCAAATAGTAAAATTGCTCAAGTGGTTCCGAATATTTGAAAAACATAGAAAAATGTTTGTGGTGTTACTCTGAGCGCATATCCACACCGGGCGAGCTTGAAAAATATGCCCGGCCACGGTGGGAATCGAACCTCCCACCGGGCACACGACGTCGTTTCAACGTTGAAATTTGGTAGAAAAAAGGTTGCGACGTCGACAACCTAATATCTACGTTGCTCTGACGTTGTTTTACAAACATTGGTTCAACAGCAGCCAACAGACGTTGAATTAACGTTCATTCATGGTTCAATGTACGACGTCGATTTGTGAACCAATCTCAACGTTATTTTAACGTGGATTCAACGTTGAATTATGGTTGACGAGATTGGCAACCTAATTTCAACGTTGTTTCAACGTCGAAACAGTAACGTCGATCCAATTTGCATAGTCAACCCTTTTTCAACGTCTATCCAACGTCTGGAAGGTCATTTCCAACGTTGATTCAACGTTGGATAAACGTCATTTTGCCCGCTGGGCTACGACCTTTGAAATACTAGCCCAATGCTCTGCCAACTAAGCTACGCGGTCAGGACGGTTCGAGTAAGTGACATTTCGGAACAGAATCTAGTTCCTTCGATATCAGTGTAATCTTGTAATATGATTTTTTCTGCGTTGGTGTTGTGTACTCAGGTGGATATAATGTTTGTGGTGTTACTTACTCGAACCGTCCTGACCGCGTACGTAGCGTAGTTGGCAGAGCATTGGGCTAGTATTCCAAAGGTCGTAGGTTCGATTCCCACCGTAGCCGGGCATATTTTTCAAGCTCGCCCGGTGTGGATATGCGCTCAGAGTAACACCACAAACATTATATCCACCACACAACACCAACGCAGAAAAACTAACATAGAAAAATTTTGAAAATTGAAAATTCGCGTCTCGTTGCCAAATCGCGTCCGTCTGTATGGACCTTAATGTGAAAAGAGTCAGTCAACGCTCTACCGAAAGTCGTGGGTTTTCTCCGGGTGCTCCGGTTTCCTCCCACAGGGAATGTTCACAGGGTGGGTTGAGATTAGCCCCGCCCTAACTGACCCTTCCACCGTAGCTGTGCTCCGTTGTCAGACATGAGTCATAAGGTGACTGGATCAGGTTGAGTCCCTCGTAACTCAGCTTGGCTCTCAGTCAGGATGACTAGCACACCCCACTTACTCACTTACTTACTATCAGTGCATCAGAGAAAATTGCAGCAAAAATTACAATGGTATTCTGTCTCTCTATACCGTCTAATGCCAGACGATTTTACTTGCTAAAGGAAAGACCCATTCGAGTTCCGTTGATGTTCAGTGGCGTAGCCTGCCTGACAATTTGCTCATGCTATGCAAATTTTAAATCATCATTATTCATTTCTATATTTCTCTTTCGACACACTTTAAATAATTAATTGACTAAAACCATGTCATATACAAATAAAATATTTTGTAAAAATTACAAAGTTGGCGGTAAAAAAATTTAAAAAAATTAAAAAAATTTTATTTGTATATAACATGCCAGATGATCTTGATACGCGGAAAAGTACTGGCACTAGATGTCAAATAGAAATCCATTTTGTGATTAAAACAACTGAATATCTCCTGTAATATACTTTATTTCGATTCCATATTTTTGTCAGAGCTATAGTTCTCATAACCAAACATAATTACAAAATTTCAACTAGTTTCATAAAGAATAACGAAAGATATAATTGACTGAATACATCAAAATGGATTTCTATTCGGACAACCCTTTCTGAGCGCTGATTGGCTAAAATACGAACACGAGATCACCTGGTGGTTTTTAATTGTTTAAAGTGTGTCGAAAGAGAAACATAGACGATATGTCTTCGAAAAGCACAAAGCCTAAAATATTGTAAAATTATTTTAATTGGTCTGGTCTTTGCCGCTAAGACATCCATGGTATCACAAAAAGATTTTAACTAAATTCCTACCTGAAACGACAAGTGATCTTCGTCAAGGCGAATTTCAGTTTTTAACTTTTTTTTTTAGCTATTTTGTGGAGCTGGTCTGGCGCCCACCCTCTTTCCTTTGTTTAACAAACCGAAGAAAACCCCAGTGCCGTCTGGTCAAGAACGACAACATCCTACCCTAGAGCGCTCCTTCTCTGTCGGTAGCTGTGTGTATGATTGTGTAAAGTTTGAAGAATTTTTTAAACCGTAGAAAATTTTTAATTTCCATACATATACTAATGGTAAAACTGCTTTGAGATTGTGAATGGAATTTTGTTTATCTGGTGATAATGTCATCGATGTGTAGAAATTTTGTTTATCTGGTTAATGTCATCGAAGTACACATATTGAACGCGAAACTCTACATCTAACAGAAGTCTAGACCTATACCAACTGAAGTCTTCCGCATTAATTAATCATTTCTCTCGGCATGAAGATAGTTTAGCTTGTTGAGTTCGGCTCACTCATTGGTGAGCGGATTTCCCAACAACGGATTTCCCTACCGATGTTTCGCCATGTTTCACAGAGTGGGGAAACACTAGGAAACATTCGTGAGAAACATAGGGAAACATCAAATGTTTCTGAATTTCGTAGGAAACATTTTTGCTTCCCGGGAAGCAAATTTTGTTTCTGCAACAATGTTTCCACGGGTGGGCAAAGATGGAAACATTTGAGGAAACATCGAGAATCACGGATGTTTCCGCAACAATGTTTCCTGGTTTGCCCAGGGCTTAACCATTTACTGATGTCAATGTGAAGGTAGCTCTTTCTCCTCAATTATTTTAAGACCTTCAGTAGAGGTCTCCCAAGGGTGGTGACTGAGCCATCCTATCAGCATGCATGTCGATGCCATGTGTGTTGCACAACTATATACGTAAAAACGCACAAGTTGTAACAAGTCTGCAAACAAGTTGTTACACGTCTGTTCACAAGCTGTCAACAAGTTGTGCTCGCGCGCACTGCTTGTTCCCAGTTTGTTGTAACAAGTTTGAAACAAGCTGTTAACAACTTGTAACAAGCTTGATGGCATTATCAGCCTTGTTACAAGATTGTGCTAACAAGTTTGTTACAGCCACGATATAACAAGGATGTTACAAGGTTGTCAACATAAGGTTGTAACAATCTTGTTATATCAAGCATGTCACAGACTTGTCAGAACAACCTTGCAACAAGTCTGGTAATTTCGACAAGGTTGTTCCAAACCTGTTGACAACTTGTGACAAGCAGTGCGAATACATCTTGTTAACAGCTTGTGAACAGACTTGTAACAAACTTGTGCGTTTTTACGTGTGTACACACAAGTAAAAATCTCACATCTTGTAACAAGTCTGCCAACAAGCCGTCAACAAGATGTATTCGCACTGCTTGTCACAAGTTGTCAACAGGTTTGGAACAACTTATTGACAACTACTGGTTACAATCTTGTTGAAATTATCAGACTTGTTGCAAGGTTGTTCTGACAAGTCTGTTACATGCTTGATATAACAAGATTGTTACAACCTTGTGTTTACAACCTTGTAACATCCTTGTTATATCATGGCTGTAACAAACTTGTTAGCACAGTCTTGTAACAAGGCTGATAATGCCATCAAGCTTGTTACGAGTTGTTAACAGCTTGTTTCAAACTTGTTACAACAAACTGGGAACAAGCAACGCGAACACAACTTGTTAACAGCTTGTGAACAGACTTGTGACAACTTGTTTGCAGACTTGTTACAAGCTGTGCGTTTTTACGCGTGTAGTTTTAGTCTGAATGTGGGCTCTTTCTACCGACACGTAAAAACGCACAAGTTGTTGCAGGTCTGCAAACAAGTTGTTACAAATCGGTTCACAAGCTGTCGACAAGTTGTATTCGCACTGCTTGTTCCCAATTGTTGTAACAAGTTTGGAACGAGCTGTTAACAACTTGTAACAAGCTTGATGGCATCGTCAGACTTGTTACAAGGTTGTTCCAACAAGTCTGATACAGTCATGATATAACAAGGACGTTACAAGGTTGATGACACAAGGTTGTAACAATATTGTTATATCATGACCGTATCGGACTTGTTGGAACAACCTTGCAACAAAACTGATAATATCAACAAGGTCGGTTACAAACTTGTCGACAACTTGGGACAAGCAGTGCGGACACGACTTGTTGACGGCTTGTTGGCAGACTTGCTACAAGATGTGAGATCTTTCCGTGTGTAAACGAAGCTCTTTCTGTAGAAATATTTTTTTCCAGGAAAATTTTTTGAAAAACAATTTTAGTTATTATTGTTATTATTAGTTGTCGAAGTTTGTTCCATTACAAGACTTGATTTCAATTAAACCTCAAAGTATAGTGATTAAGATTTTTAATTACTTTTTAATTACCTGAATTTCTGACTTGGGGGCGTTCCAAAGTCAAATGACGTCATGTCGCTGACGGCGTGGTCGGTTGGACTGGGACCGAATATTACGAAAGTTATTGAAAATCATTTTAGCATGTTGTAAAATTCGAGTTCAAAATTCGTAAAAATGGCCAGATTTTCGCTGTAGAGGGCCTCGATTCAACGTTTTTAACCACTATATTTATTTATCCAAGTCTTAATTTAGTATTTAATAAAAATGAAGCGATTTTTACAAGGTTTTTCGAGCGCAGCGAGTCCCTACGTTGGCAAGACATTTCGATTTGGACGAGTCGAATGCACTGTCGAAGATCAAATCGCCGAAGGTAATGGCTAAATTTCTTGTTGAATTTTGTTTTTATATTTAGGAATACGTAGTTTATATGGTGTAACTTGCTTCAAACGGCAATATCGTACCCAAAGGCTTGCTTATATTGGTGTTTTGAGTTATTAAAATATATTTAAATGACAAGCTGAAATTAAACCTCGGAAACATTCTAATTTTGTTCGGCATGGCCATAATATTCATATCATTATACGCGTTGATTTAAACGTCGTATTAAATATTACTAATATGCACAATAGAATAGGTGGTTTAAGAAATAGCTTCAGTTTAATGATGGTTTAAGAAATAGCTTCAGTTTGACTAAATTGCTAAAATGGTCAATTTCCCCATAACAAGCATGTTTAACCTTCCTGCAAAGACTAATTAGAGAAATTGACGTTTACTGCAAGCGACAAATTACATTTGAAGGTACGTTCTACAAGTTTTCGGCAGCGAAGTAGCTAAATCATGTTTCAACTTTGATGCACAGTTTGTATCGAACTTCGAACAGCTAACGGTTGACCTCAAAATGCGATTTGAAGTTTGCGGTTAGCGGTCTGCTGTAAACATCGATCCTATAACTTCGCTATTATACCCACAGTTTCAAATGCTTGCCTGATTACGGACAATGCAAATTTAGAGAAAAGGCCATTGGGTATGAGCCAAGGAGTATGTGGCATTACAGCAGCTTGGCGTTGTTTTTCTCAGCCAGCTGCCAAATTATATTGGGTTATGTCAGGGTTCCCAATATAGTTTGGAGTGGGAAGCTTTTTTTTTAAAGAAGCCAGCAGCCGAAGGTACCGCCCACCTAGAGGGGGTCTCAGGGCGGCTCTCTGTGAAGATTCTGAAATTTAGACCCCTTCGATTGTTTTGGAAATTTAATCATATTAGGCATGCAGTTGCGATATTGAAAAAAATCGATATACCGATATCGAAAAAATATCGACTGTATCGAATTATGCAAATGAGAAAATGTAATTTGGTCAACTTGCATGTATACGCATCACAAACAGTTAAAAAGAAGTGCATGAAACCAGTCATGGTACGTCTCAAAGACTTATTAACAACAACTTATCCGTTTATGAAAGTTTAAAGATATATTTACTTGTAACCCTAATGGTTTCACAGTACGATTGTTTGCGGACTTTGTCTAAACTTCACCAGTGAAAACAATAATTGCCGAATAATCGGAGATTAAGTTGTTTAATTACAACTTTCGATATTTTCGATATGCGAAAAAACGAACATCGAATATCGATATTTTTGAAATATCAATATTTATCGAAAATATTGATATATCGCAACTGCCTACATCATATATCCAAAACATTTAACGAAGAATATCGTGTAAAATGTTTTAAAAGCATGAAATCCTTCCCTTGACATTTCTGTGGTAAGAAAGAACCTATGGAAAATGTTACTTTGTCCATTGTCAGAGAAAAATTGACAAATGCCTAACCAATTTTTGAAAAGGCCAGATATCTGTCCTTCCAAGCAAAATAATTATTTTTCAGTTTTGTAAAATTTTTAGAAACTGAAGATATTGAGTAAAACTGATTGTGAATTTACTTCAAACTTTAGGTGGATTTTCTCTCGTGTTTGTTGTGAGAGCAAGCAATGGCAGTCACTACGCCCTGAAACGCATTTCAGTCAACAACAGAAAAGACCTCGAAGTTGGAAAGCAGGAAATCTCAATTATGGTATGGAACGTAGACATTTCGAGCGAAAGCTCTTGATCGGGAAACCACTAACTTCCCAAGCACATGAAAATGAAACTGTTGGGGCAAAAGTACAATGACACCACAGCCAGAAGATTATGTAGTTACACCCGTAACCTACACCGTACACTCACTAAAAACTAGCCTGCGAACAGGCCCGCAAGGTGAAATGAGAGCCTGCATCGATGACTAATGAATTTGAATATCTGCGTCTCAAATCGTGACGCGGAATTCTCATTGGTCAGATGCTATAATTTATATGTTTCCGCTGAGCTCTATATATGTCAACTGCTGAAGCACTATGCATAAAAAACACATTAACTGATCAAATTGGTCTTGGCCGTCTTATCTCAAAGCACAAAATGTTCTGTTTTAAGAAAACAGTATTTAAAACATTTGAACTTTTGCTTGAATATCTTATATTTCGAAAAACAGTATAAACTGTACGGTCTAAATTTAGTTTGCACGGTCTAAATTTAGTTTACACGAAAGTTGTAAACAACACCATATAAGGATAGACATTCCATATTTGGAAAAACGAACGTTACGGGGCAGATATTTAAGATTGTATATCATCAGTGCTGGCTCTCATTTCACTTTGAGAGACTGTTCGCAGACCAGCTAAAAACCAACTCTATTTTCTTGTAGAAAAAATTGTCAAGCCACAAAAACATCATCACATACATTGATTCTTCAATCACAGAAGTGAACTCTGGCATCTTTGAGCTACTCATCCTCATGGAATATTGTCGAGGTGGGAGTCTAAATAGATGCATGATGAGCTGTATATATAGCTGGAGCAAGAACGCCAGTCATTCGGCCTATGAGAGGCCAAGATGTTGAAAATTGACGTCCAATATCTATGGAGGTCCTCAACAGTTTTAAAACCATTTTCCCAAGCAGGCACAGATTTTTTGGGCGGAGTGC